AACCCGGAATTCCCGGGAAGTTTTGGGAATTCCTGGGATGTGCGGGAGGGATCCGCTCCTTTCCCGATTCTCGGGAAAATGGGCAAAAAAAACCCAACAAAAACAACAAAAAAAATAAAAAAAAAATTCCGCTTGACGTGGTTGGGTCACGTGGGGAAAAATCCCAAATCCAAAGGATCGGGAGCAAAAGGAGGTCGGGAATGAGGGGGAGGAGAAGGGAAGAGGGGATGGGAATTCCCATCTCTTTTTTTCCCAAAATCTCCCAAACTCCCCCCAAAAAAAAAAACCTCGTTGAGCCGGGAGGGGATTTTTGGGTTCCCCACGCGAGGATCAATCCCGGGGGGTTTTATTTTGATTTTATTTTGATTTTTAAATGATTTTATTTTGATTTTATTTTGATTTTTAAATGATTTTATTTTGATTTTATTTTGATTTTATTTTGATTTTATTTTGATTTTATTTTGATTTTATTTTGATTTTTAAATTATTTTATTTTGATTCCAAAGTGATTGATCATTAACCCTGGGATTTATCGCTTCTCCTGGCAAAGCTCGGGTGGGGAGGAAAAAACTCCGATCCCTCCAGTCAAACCCAGAATATTCTCATTTTTTTATCCTTTTCGGAGTTCCAAAAAGGCGGAAAAATTCAAAATACTGGTTTTTTTTGGCCAAAAAACCCAAAATAATAAATAAAAAGAGATGGGGGGAGGTCCCCCCGCAAGGCCACGCCCCCGAGAGAAATAATTAATAGATAAAAGAGATAAAAAAAACCCAAATCAAAACAAAGAGCGCGGGGAGGGGGTGGGGGAAGCCTCGCTCCATCCAGGGAATTAATGAAAAACCAGGAAAAACAAAGAAAAACAAAGAAAAACACAAAACAACAAAAAAAACCCCGTTATTTATTCCGGCTCCTTGTTCGTTTCTCTTTTTCCCTCTTTCCCACCCATTTTTTTTCCCTCCTACCCCCATTTTTGGGGTGAAAATCCCGATTTTCCCTCTTTTCTCCACTTTTTTCCCCCCTTTTTCCCCTTCCCCTCTCCTTCCTTTGATTGAACTCGTGAATCGCCAACTCACAACTCATAAATATCATTTTTTCCCATTTGATTTTGATTTTTTTTCCCCCTTTTTCTCAACTCCAGCTGCGTCAGCTGAGCAGGGGAGGGTGGGGATGGAAAACTTCCAAAAAAACCCGCGTGTAATAAAAATAATAAAAATGATAAAAATGATAAAAATGATAAAAATGATAAAAATGATAAAAATGATAAAAATTATAAAAATGATAAAAATTATACAATTATAAAAATGATAAAAATGATAAAAATGATAAAAATGATAAAAATGATAAAAATGACCAAAATAATAAAAATAATAAAAATAATAAAAATAATAAAAATTAAAATAAAAATTAAAATAAAAATAAAAATACAAATTGAAATAAAAATAAAAATAAAATTAAAATTAAAATTAAAATTAAAAATAAAAATAAAAATAAAAATAAAAATAAAAGTAAAAGTAAAAATAAAAATAAAAATAAAAATAAAATTAAAAATAAAAATAAAAAATAAAATAAAAATAAAAATAAAAATAAAAAAATAAAAATAATAATAATAATAATAGTAATAATAATAAATCTGCAGGCAGAGGTTGAGGAAGGTCAGGGAACATCCGCGGGTGATTTATGGACTCGGGGATTTTGTCACAAGCGGAACATTTTTATTTCACATTAATAACATCAACATTCACAACGGAAACGGAGTTATTAAAACCCGGCCCGAATGTTTCCCAGAACGAAAATATTTTTAAATGAGATCGCTTTTGGATTTTTTTTTTTTTTTTTGGCTTTTTTTAACCCTTTTTTTTCCTCTTCCTCGCGGAGTCGCGGTGAGAAATCTCGGAATTTTTTTTTTTGGGATGTTTTGGAGGCTCCAGTGTGTTAATTTTGGGAACAAATCGAGAACTTCCTCGTTGGGAAGGAGGAAATTGCCCAAAAAAAAAAATTAAAAAAAAATTAAATTTTCTCCATCTTCCAGGATTTTCCAGGAAAAAAAAAAACCCTCCTGTTTTATTTTTTCCCCTCCTGTTTTATTGCTGTTAATTAACTGCGGGTAATTAATGTCGTTTAACACTGAAATGAGCAGGGCTGAGCCAGAATTCCCTCCCCACTCCCAAATTTTGGGAATCGCCTTCAGAGTTCCCCAAAGGGAGCCCCAAAACCGGGAAAAGCTTCCCAAAACCGGCGGGGAGGGGGATGGGAATTTCCAGAGGGGAAAAATGGTAAAAAAAAAAAAACGGGAAAGAGACGGGATTGCCCCAAATCTGCGGGAATAAACCCCAATTCCCATCCCTGGATGTTTTTGGCTCGGGAGGAACCCCCAGAGGGGTTTTTAATCCGATTTTCCCCCAATTCCTTCCCCAAAATCCCCAAATCCTCCTCGTCCTCACCCAACTTTCACTGGGTTTTGTTGGTTTTTTTCGCATTTTTTTTCCTCCCCTCCTCAGCGTTTCTCCTGTCCCAAAATCCGCCCGGGGCCGGGATTTGCTGGAGCAGCCCTCGAAGAACCGGGTGAGTTTTGTCTGTCGTGTCCGTCTGTCCTTCCTCAGCCTTTCCCCCCTCTCCAAACCCCTCAGCCTCGCTCCCTTTGGATCCTTTTCCCCCCCACACCTCTAAAAATCAAATTTAAATTTAAATTTTTCCTCCTCACCCCCCACAAAAAACGAGCAAAAGGCAGCTGCGGATCCCGAGCCCCTTTTCCCTCCACGGCGAGCCTGGAAATTCTGGGATTTATGGAATAACTTTGGGATCGGAATTCCTGCTCTGCCTTTGAAGGAGGGAAAAAAAAAAAGAAAACCCTCCCCGCTCGCCACATTTGCGGAGGAGAAATGAGCTGCAGGCCGAGCAGAAATGACAATTCCTGGCATAACTCCGCTCGCTCCCACACGGACCAGGGTTTTGGGTTTTTTTCCCCCAGCTGGTTGAGGTTAAAATGAGAATTTTTTGCGCTCCAGAGGAGGCACTCGCGGAATTCCAGGCGCTTCTGGGTGTCCAAGAGCTCCGGATGAGCGAGAGGAGCTCCGGGGATCCCCAGGGGAGCTGTCCCAGAGGGTTCTGAAGTTTTTAGGCGGTCCCAGAGGGTTCTGAAGAAGTTTTTAGGTGGTCCCAGAGGGTTCTGAAGAAGTTTTTAGGTGGTCCCAGAGGGTTCTGAAGTTTTTAGGTGGTCCCAGAGGGTTCTGAAGAAGTTTTTAGGTGGTCCCAGAGGGTTCTGAAGAAGTTCTTAGGTGGTCCCAGAGGGCTCTGAAGAAGTTTTTAGGTGGTCCCAGAGGGTTCTGAAGAAGTTTTTAGGTTATCCAAGATGTTTTAAAGAAGTTTTGAAGTTGTCTGAGATAGTTTTAAAGAAGTTTTAAGTTATCCGAGATGGTTTTAAAGAAGTTTTAAGTCGTCTGAGATGTTTTTCCGTGAGGGTTTTAAAGAAGTTTTTAGTCGAAGATGGTTTTTAGGAAGTTTTGAAGTTGTCCCAGAGGGATTTAAAGAAGTTTTGAAGTTATCCCAGATGGTTTTTAAGAAGTTTTGAGGTTGTCCAAGATGGTTTTGAAGAAGTTTTCAGTTGTCTGAGATGGTTTTTAAGAAGTTTTAAGTTGTCCAAGATGAGTTTTAAGAAGTTTTGAGGTTGTCCGGGATGGTTTTGAAGAAGTTTTTAAGTTATTTGAGATGGTTTTAGGAAGTTTTGAGGTTGTCCAAAATGGTTTTTAAGAAGTTTTGAAGTTGTCCAAGGTGGTTTTGAAGAAGTTTTAGGTTGTCAAGATGGTTTTTAGGAAGTTTTGACGTTGTCCAAGGTGGTTTTGAAGAAGTTTTTAAGTTATTCGAGATGGTTTTAGGAAGTTTTTAAGTTGTCCAAGATGGTTTTGAAGAAGTTTTGAGGTTGTCCAAGATGTTTTTACGAAGTTTTTAGGCTGTCCGAGATGGTTTTTAGGAAGTTTTAAGTTGTCTGAGATGAGTTTTAAGAAGTTTTTAAGTTGCTTGAGATGGTTTTAAAGAAGTTTTAAGTTATCAAGATGGTTTTTAGGAAGTTTTGAAGTTCTTTGAGATGGTTTTAAAGAAGTTTTCAGTTGTCTGAGATGGTTTTGAAGAAGTTTTAAGTTGTCCACCATGGTTTTTTTTTCCTCTTTCCCTTTTTCCCTGGGAATTCCACGCCGGGGTTGCTGTCTCGTAGCAGGAGATTGATGTCGGAGCAGCTCATAAAAATGAGTTTTTTATGATTTTATGAGGTTGTTTTTTTTCTTTTCCAGATGAGAGGGGTGGGGGGGTGAAAAAAAAAATCACAATAAAATGGTAATTATGGA